GGGAGCATACAGGGTGCAGCCCTGTGGAGAGCCCAGGACAGCTCCACAACGGGCTGACCCGAGAGCGCTGCCTGGGAACACCACCGGGATCAGGTGGCCAAGAGCAGAGGCCAAGGTCTTGCTGCTCTCCGGAGCCCTTTGACTCCTGGCTCGGGAAGCTCTAAGGAACAGCTCCCAGCCCTTGCAGTGCAGAAAGCAGTGTGGGGTTTTTTGTTTCCCTATTCCAGCAGCTAAAGAAGGTTAGGAGATATTGATTAACCATATTCTGTCCAGCATGACCCCTCGCTGCCTTGAGATGAATGCTTCCACCCCCTGCTCCTTTTGAGGCCGCTTTCTGGCTCTTCTCAGCAGGTAGGGCGGGGCAGGTATCTAGAACTTGTATTTTCTGCTCTTGGACTGTAGCAGGCCTGTGAAAGGTATGCAAACCCACTGGGAATAGCTTTGCTCTTAAGCAAATTACCAAATTGAATCTAGGTCACCTAAAAGGGACGCAGACCATCTCTAAGCAAAGAGCCTTTGTGCACTTCAGTGGCCGGAAGGGTGACTCTTATCTTGAGATAGGGGATGCCAAGCAGTGATTAGCAGTTTTGTGTTCCCTTATCTTCAGCGACTTCACGTGGTGCTCAGAGTTGTTACAGTTGCTCTGTGCTGGGATTGGTCTTCCTGAAATCAGGACAGAGGTGAAGAGATGCGGAATGGTTAAAATGGCTCCCTTGACACACAAATGCTAATTTAGGTGATAACTCAGTCTTCACATCAGGAGACAACTATTTTAAATGCTTTTCTCAGCGGGAAGCTCACCGCAGCCCACTGGGGCAATGAATTTTCAGGCTTGAAAGGGCCGTAGTAGCCAGCTGCCTGTTGGCATTGTTCTTGTGTAAATATTTGCTGTAGCTGTGCTCCGGCTTGCAGATCTGCTGTAGGGCTCTGGCAGAGGTTTTGAAATCCAGTATCTTGAATGGCTGTACGTCCAGGAACGTCGACTGGCCTCTTCACAGTGGAAGCCTTCCCTGGACTTGTGAACGCCTGCTTACCTAGAGGAAAACTTGCTTTCTGGGCTGGCTTGAGTCCATGAGCACGCCGAGTCTCTGCAGCTCGGGCTGTGAGTTCCACGTACGTTGTTTAAGAGTGTTGCTGGTTTACACAGCTCCTGGAGCATTTCCCGACCCTCTCTCTGTCCCGTGTACCCCACTGCGCTTGCAGCTGTGCATTAAACAGTCGAGGAAGACCAGCCTGGCTGAAGAGTACGGAGACTATTTGAATAGCGGCTCTGCTCAGCATCCAGGCTCTGGGTTTGCTGCACTGAGACACCTCCAGCCTGGCAGAGAGGGTGTGCAGTTTATAACTTTGACTTTTATTCAAGTCCAATGCTCTTTTAGTTGATGGGAATAAAATGTAACGCAGTGCAGAGGCAACAGCGTTAGGGAACTTAGGAGGAGTGGTGCATTAGGGCTTGTGGCCGCAGATCCTGAGCAGATCTCCCAAACCCCCATCTAGAAGGCTTTGCCTCTGATCTCCTGGGTATCCTGATGTGTTTGCACAACTCAGCCTGGACTTTTTTCTCCTGTCTCCCCGCAAGCTCACCTCCCTGGAAACAGCAGAGGAGCCTTTCTTTGGCCTTCACCCCAAAACCTTCAGGCTAAGAAGGGGAAAATCAGTCCTAAACCTACCCTTAAGCTGATAGAAAGACCTGGCTCAGAACAAAAGTACTTAACTCTTCGGAGTGCTGCAGCTTAGGTAAATGCCCACAGGATCAGCATTAATTGCAGAAGTAACATACTAGAGCCCAGTGACCTGCTTAAGTGTTTGCAGGATCGGGACCTAAATACCCAAACCACTGTAAGCTGCTTGGTGAAAAGCCCAGCAGAAAGGAGGTGCTGTCACCATCTCCAAAGCAGCAGCTCTTGAAAATAGATGGCCAGACTCTTGCAGCCCTCGATTCCAGAATAACTTTAGACCAGGTAAACTTCAGAAAGTCACACTCCTGTGCAGAGGGTGATAGTTTTTTTGCCTCTTCTCCACGCCTGCACTGCCAGGAAGGCAGCGGGAGAGGTTTCCCAAAGCAGCATTGCATGCTGCCTGAACCTGTGGAAGGATTTTGCCCCAGCAGCCCTCGTGGCCTGTCCTGCTCAGGTTGGCTCAACGGGCTGCTCCCTTCCCGCTGGCTGCAGCCCGTGTCCCTCTGCAGGGTGTGTGTTGTTGGCATGACTGACTCATCCTCCTTTCAGAGTTGATCCTGTACTTAACCAGAGAGGTAATTAAGACTTGTTAGTGGTCTAGGAAATGCTAAGCACATCTTCCATTTTTAAACTACCTGAGGTGGCTCTGCCGTACATGTTTGCTGCCCTTTTTGCCACAGAGCTTGTCAGGAGGAGAAACAGAGGCTTTTTATTCCAAAACACAGTACTTAAGGGAAGAGCAGTTAAGCCTGAAGAGGTCAAATGATGTTTGTGGCTCCCTGAGATGCAATCTCCATACACATACGAGTGCAAAGCTTGTTTATCTAGTGAGTAAACGGGGTCTAAATGGACCCAACACAGGGACAGAGTGGATGGGGGGAGATGATTTTGAGTTCTGGGTTAGAGCTTCCTTAACCCATCTGGCTGTATTGCCTTCAGATGTGCTGTATCTGTCACCACACGGAGCACTCAGCAGATGTGGCTGGCTCTCCAGGCTGTCTGCATTGCCTGGGGCAAAACCCAGCCCCGGGACAGCATTCCGGCTTGGGAAAGTATGTTATCTTCACACCAGGTGGCCTTCCTGGGCTGCAGAGCTTTGTGCAGCTGATAGTGGCAGCATGAGTGGTGGGAGCTGTCTTGCCTTTAGCAATCAAGACTGAATCCTGCCCCAGAGGAGAGAAACCCAATCTACCTTGTGCTGCAGGCTTCCTCCCCTGCCGAGCTCAGGGGTCTGGGTAGGTGCCTGCATGGTGCTGTGAATCGGGATGCTCAGAGCTCCGTTGAGTAGTTGTCTTTAGCATCTTTCTTGAGGAGGGGGCTGCTACAGTTGCAGCCTTCTGTCAGGCAGGTGGAAAACCACTGCACTGCTATCTCCAAGCCCCCGTGGGACTGGGCAGAGGCTGTGGCCGAAGGGAGAATAACGGGTTTCTTTTTATAGCACGGTCTGGTCTGCCCTTGACATTAAGAGAGCCTCTCCGTCTTCAGGGTGTCCTGCCAGCAGGGCAGGGGCAGGAGGTTTGCGGAGTGGCTGCTGGCGAGCAGGGAGCAAAGCTCCTCCTGACACAGGAAGGTTGACAGTGAGGGAAGGCACCTTCCCGTTGGAGCTTGTCACACTGGGAAAAAGTGTCCTGTGCGATTTCCAGGAAAACAGCGTGTGGCTACGACGTCCCTCTCCAAGTGAGGCAGCGTTTGTAGGGCAGGAGAGGGAAATACCTCCATGAAGTCAGCCAACGTTGCGAGAAAAGCAGATTAGTTTTCATGCACAAGAGCCCTTCCAGGAGTTTGGAAGAGGCTCTGCATTTGTGCTTCATGCAATTGCCTGGGTCTGGCTGCCCAAGGATCCCTGGGGGGGCGTAACCTACGCAGTCCCGCTTGGCTGCAAAGAGACGGCAGCTGGTCAGAGCCTAAGGGTCTCGGGCTTGGTTTCTGGGGCCTTTCTGTGTCAGCACCTAAGGCAAGCAGGCCGTTTCTGTGCATTAATGACTTGGAGGGGTGCAGGTATCTTCGGCCACAGCGAACAGGCTCTTTGCTCACTCTGCATCGTAAAATGCAGCGCCAGATCATGGAGCATAAAGGAGTTGTGGGTTTTTTCTGACCCTGGATAATTCTCTTAGCACTGCTTGTCCCTTTCTCAGTGGTTTAAAGACAAGGTTTCTCTTGGGGTTTTCTCTGTCGCCATGTTGCTGTGGTGTCCCTGCTCGCTTCTCAAGCCTAATAGCTGCTTGTTTTCCCTTCAGCTCATGGTGGTCCCATGTGGAGATGGGTCCCCCCGACCCCATCCTGGGGGTGACGGAAGCTTTCAAGCGCGACACCAACTCCAAGAAGATGAACCTGGGTGTGGGGGCGTACCGGGATGACAACGGGAAGCCCTACGTCCTGAGCTGTGTTCGCAAGGTGAGCCTGGTGCCAGCTGCAGGGCAGGGCCAGATCCAGGTGTCGGGCACCCTGCGGGGGGTCAGGGAGGGGAAAGGCCTCTAGGCGAGGTTTGCCTGTTGGTCCTTAGAATAAGTTTGGTCTCTAACAGAGCAGGACAGTGTTCCTGGATGTCTTCCTTAGCAGTACTAATGCTTTTGAGACAGAGACAGTTGTGAAGTAGTAGAGGATAAAACAGGGAATATGTGTCCTGTTCCCATTTGGTTAAATCTAATTCATTGCTGACTTCCACAAGCCCTCCAACCCAGCTGTCCTCTGAACTTCAAGGTGTTTCTTGGATAGGCTGACATTCCCTGGGCCAGCTCACATGGGTGGAAAGAGCTGACATTGTCCCCTTAATGGATTAGTCTTAGAAATTCTGCTGAGCCGTTGGTACCAGTTTCCCCATAAGCCAGTCTAAAACTCCAGCCCAGGGAGCTGGATGTGGACACTGCCCTTGAGGGGATTACGGAGCCTTTCAGGGCTGTAAGTGCAGAAACAGGCCATTGCCAGACATGTTGACTGGCTGGTCTCCCAGGGAAGAAGGGTCATCCATGCTTCTCATCAGCATGGGGTTTAAAGCCATCCCTTGCCCTCACTCCCCCTGTGCCAGCATGTATTGCAGCCGGGTCACAACCGGGGAGCCTGTGTGGTGACGCAGGAACGGTTTCCTGGTGGTATGTGAACGCTGCCAGGGTCTGTCCTGCCTCTCTGGGAGCAGGGTTAGGGTTCTCAGAGTGCTCCAGATGTCCCTGTCACTGCATTTTTCTTGAGCATAGGTCTTTGCCACTCTGATCCTGTGTTAGGCAGGGACTTGGACTAGTTTTTGATGCAGGATCTGCTAGAAAGAAGTAGAGATTAGCAGAGCTAGGGGGACCCGTGTTTCAGGGTTGGGTGAGCTAGCTTTCAGACAGCTTGCTTTCAAAATTGGCTGGGGTTTCTGGATTATGTTTTTTAACCCATTCCACCTAGTTCAATAACACTCCCAGCATGATGAGGCCCTAGAGAGGGCTTGCTACCCTACCTGTTTTTGGGATGTCTCCCTGCATAGAGACCATCTCTGCTGAACAGTCCAGTCTTGCCTTCTTGCCAGACAATTCCTGCTTGGGCAAAGAAACATGTGTCCTTGTGCAGCAGTGTTGACTTGTAATGGGCTGGAAGTGGTGCTTTCCCCTGGCACTGGGTTTCCTGGCTCTGCTGTGCCGATGCTGGCACCCACTGAGGGTTCTGGTGGCTGCTGGGGACCTTGTGCCGTGGTAAAAGCAGAGTGTCACCCAAAATGTTTACTGCTGCCCTGGCTTTCACTGAGCTCTGAAGGGAAACTTGTGTAAACCCACCTTTGCCCCTCTTGAGCAAGATGTGAAGAGAAGCATCCTTGAGCTGTCCGCCACCCTCTCCACGGCAATGTCTTTCTTCCTTCCCAGGCGGAGGCCATGATAGCATCCAAGAAGATGGACAAGGAGTACCTGCCCATCGGAGGGCTAGCGGATTTCACCCGGGCATCTGCAGAACTGGCTCTGGGTGAAAACAGCGAGGCTTTCAAGAGCGGCCGGGTAAGGAGCGAGCCGGGGAGCAGGGGGTGGGCAGCGCGCTCTGACGCACGCTTGGTACGTGGGTGCCCAGGAAAAGTGGAAGGACTGGCAGGTGCTCACGCCTCTGACCTGCAGGCTGGTCAGGCCCAAGGATAACTGCTTCCTCATGAGTGCTTGGGTGAAACAGACCTTCCGGAGGAGGGGAAATAACCTTGCCAGAGGTTCCAACTCCTTCCCCTGCAACTGGAGTTGCTGACCCGTGCGGTCCCCTCCAGCCCCACGTGCCTCTTTGCATGCGCTAACGCCGATGGGCTGGCAGGGCTGTTCCCTGTGTCTCACCCAGCCAGCTCAGACTCATGTATTTGTTTCTTCCCTTGCAGTATGTCACTGTCCAGGGTATTTCTGGGACTGGATCTCTGCGAATTGGAGCCAACTTTTTGGTGAGTTACTGGCTAGTGGGGGCAGGAAAGGACATCTTTTGACCAGAGCTGAACCTTTGGGGTTTTCTAACTGCTTTAATCTGTTCAACCTGGCTGAACACTCTGTCTTCCTCTTGATCAGCAACGGTTCTTCAAGTCTAGCCGAGATGTGTACCTACCCAAACCATCCTGGGGCAATCACACACCCATCTTCCGTGATGCTGGCCTGCAGCTTCAGGCTTACCGCTACTACGACCCCAAGACCTGCAGCCTTGACTTCTCTGGAGCCATGGATGACATTTCCGTGAGTTGCCTTTCACACTTGGAAGCAGGGAGGTGATCTGGGGAGAGGAATGGTCTTCTTTCTTTAGCCTAAAGAAGGCACCACATCGAGGCCAGAAGCCTTGCGGAGCTTGTCAGAGCTGTTTAGGGCAAGAGTCTCATCTCGGCTGCTGAGGACAGTGCTCAGATGTCATTAATAATTCATTCTCTGTAACATTTTCCGTAGAAAATTCCAGAGAAGAGCATCATCCTCTTGCACGCTTGTGCTCACAACCCCACTGGGGTGGATCCCCGGCAGGAGCAATGGAAGGAGTTGGCGGCTGTGGTGAAGGTGAGTGTCCCAGGGGTGGACAGGGGACACTGTGCCGTTCCTGGGCTTTCATGGGTGGTATCTGGTCTTCACTGCACAAAAGGTTACTGCCTGCCTTGAGGCCAGGCTGGGTGTCATGTTCCTGTAGTGAAGACAGGAGCTGGGCAAGTGCACCCTGAAAGCTTCAAGCTGACCATTGAACTTTCTTCTGGCACCTTCCCAGGAAGCTGGGGAAGGGAGACCTGAAGGGAGAGCAGCAGGGTTGAAAAGTGAGCTGTGATAGCTGGAGAGGGTCTCCTGGTGGTGGTGTATTAAAAATGCTGGACGATCTTTCACATGCCTGGTGTCTCCTCACAAGTTTTAGCTGGAAACAGAGACAGGTCCTTCCTTCATCCTTCTCTTCCTCCCTGCCACTCCCACAAGCTGTAGCCAGTGAAATTTGGTTTGGGGATGTCTGGTCTTAGTAGTGTCCTGAGAATTGGTGGATATCAAAGTGGCCTCTGGCCTGCAGATGGCTGCAGGTCTCCTGGCTGAGGGGCAGCATAGCTGGGTTATCCACCTGGAGGCACCAGAAGGGCTGGCACCTGCTCACACAGTCCCCAGCTGGTTTTCCTGGAAACTGAGAGTACAGAAAATACTGAAATTAAATAATTTATGACTGCTGAATCCACTTCTGCCTCCTGGGCCAGACTGCACATCCCATAAATGCACTGTGAGGGTTTTCACCTGCTGTTTCAATGTGTGGTGGGGAGCTGGGGTTTTGGGGCTGCCTTCTCTTTGGCAAACCAAGGGGAATGGCTCTATTTCTGAGAGAACAGTTGCAGCGGAGCAGCCTGCTGCCTGCACAGCTCTCTTCAGCCTGCTGCCCTGCTCCCCAGAGGGGTGTTCAGCTCCTGTGATGCTCTCTCCCCTCTTTGCTGGCAGAAACGAAACCTCCTCGTGTACTTCGACATGGCCTACCAGGGCTTTGCCAGTGGGGACATCAACCGGGATGCCTGGGCTGTACGGTATTTCATCGAGCAGGGCATCAACATCGTCTTGTCACAGTCCTACGCCAAGAACATGGGGCTGTACGGTGAGTAGGGAGTCCTGCTCCAGCCCTGGGTATCCAGTGACAGAGGCCGGGACCTGACCACCCCTCTCTTTCAGGAGAGCGTGCGGGTGCCTTCACGGTCATCTGCAGCGACGCAGAGGAAGCCAAGAGGGTCGAATCACAGCTGAAGATCCTCATCCGCCCCATGTACTCCAACCCACCCCTGAACGGAGCCCGCATCGCCTCCATCATCCTGAACACCCCCGACCTTCGGAAGGAGTGGTAAGAGGGAACCCCTAACGCTCACAATAGCGAGATGAGGTCTCTCCGTGGCAGCCCTGTTCTGTGCTTACAGCCTGCTGCTGCCGTGGGCAGCTCATGGCTTCAGGGCTATAGTCAGAACCACGGGCCACTCCTTTCCTCTGGAAAAATCCCTTCTTGTGTCCTGGCATCAGCTGGTACTGGTCCAGCCTGACACAGACAGGTTTCCCTTGTGTTACCATGGCAGAAAACACTGTAAAGGAGACAGAGCTTCCTTGGGATTGAGGGCTTCAGGAGCTGCCTGTCCAAGGAGTGGAAAAGACTGAGTGAGGCGTAGCTACATAATATGTCTTGCACGGGGGAAGTGGAGGCATAAGCCCCCTGGGAATTAGACCCAGGAATTTAACCCTCATGCCCTAAGCCTGCTTCCTGGCATCAACCTGCACTGCTCTCCCAGCCCTTCGGTGACGAGTCCCTGCCGGCAGCTGGCCTGGCAGAACAAAGGCTGGCAGCGTGCCGTGGCCTTGCTGGGAGCTGTGTGCCTTTGGCAGGCCAACGCTTGTGCCCGATTCAGGGCCCAGTGGAGACGTCTCCCAGCTGTGCTGCCTTGGAGCAGGGATGTCTGCCTGTGCTGGGAGGTCCCCCCACACTCCTTGTTTATCTGCAGTTTATTTTATCTGGGTTTAATAAATAGGTACCAGGAGAGAGAAGCAGCTCCCCAGCTGGAGCTACAGCTTCACGCTCCCTGGTCTTTGCTCATCTGCATCCCCCAACTTTTTGGGGTATGAGGCCTTTCCAGTTGGAGAGGGTTGATTCCCAGCAGATGAGGGGCAGGGGGGGAGCAGCTTTGGTGCATCCCAGCTCTGTTCTAAGCGGTTCCTGGGTTGGCTTCTCAGGCTCGTGGAGGTGAAGGGCATGGCTGACCGGATCATCAGCATGCGGACTCAGCTGGTGTCCAACCTCAAGAAAGAGGGATCCTCCCATAACTGGCAGCACATCACTGACCAGATCGGCATGTTCTGCTTCACAGGGCTGAAGCCCGAGCAGGTAAACACAGTTTCTGTGACCTCATGGTGTCATCTGTGCTCCTTGTCAGTTCGATCTTGGCTGCAGGTGCCAGAACGAGTCCTCATGGGCCATTCTTCCTCCAGAGGAAACATCCTTCAAGCCTGCAGCACCAGAGCATTGTGGGGACTCATGTCTCTCTGCTCACTGCTGTGCTTGTGGAGGTTGACAGCAGGTAGAGCCTGCTTATCTGTCAAAGGAAGCAGTCACTTGGTGCCTTTAAGGCCACGTCAGGATCACTGAGGTGACTTTAAAGGTTTATTTGCAGTGTCTGTGTGTTGCCCGGGAGCCGAGGAGCAGCTCTCTGTTTACAGAGCTGCTGGCTCTGTGGGCAGTGGGATGCCATGTCATCAGGCTCCCGGTTTGCTTCCAGTTCTGGCAAGCTGAGTAAATTTGCACTCCGCTAAGAGAGTAGAGGTTGGCCGGCGGTTTGAACTCTGCTCTTTCATCCCAGGTGGAGCGGCTGATCAAGGAGTTCTCCATCTATATGACAAAGGACGGACGAATCTCTGTGGCGGGAGTTACGTCGGGCAACGTAGGTTACCTGGCTCATGCCATCCATCAAGTCACAAAGTAAAGACAAAGGTGTGCCCTGGAGCTGGTGGCCTTCCCTTCCCCACCGGTCGAAGATGGGGAGGGAAAGGAAACAAGCAGAATTACCTCCAACCACAGCACTCGACGCCGCTGCTGAATGTATCTTGTAGATAAGTTGTTGTAGAAGCCTAGTCGAAACCGCCCTGTGTTGGGGAGCAGGGACATCATTGCTGGCTCCCACTCGTCACAGCCCTTCTCCCCTGCTCTCCGTCCTTTGTCCATCGGCCCTAGCACCCATCTGCATCGGAGGAAGCAAACGCTTGGCACTGCCATGCTGCCGGCGCAGGCACCAAAGTATTTCCCACGCTCGTTTCCCCATGAGAAGGGTCAGTGAGGCTGTTGGCCGCTGGCTCCCACGGCAGTGGGCAGGGAGCTGGGTGGGCTGACTGGGAGGGCACCCCTCGCCCTCCTGGCCCGGGGTGGGGCAGTGCCGAAGCTGCCCTTCAACAGCCAGCTCTGAGGGCTTCTCGCTGCTAAAATCTCCTTCGTTGGCTTCGTTCTTTCCATCTGGGAATCTCCTTGCAGGTGTAATTCCTGGTGGCATTGGTGCGTGGGCCAGACCCACGTCCCTCCTCCAAACCTGTCTTCACTCCCGTGCCCCAAGGCAAAACAGTTTCTCACCCCCCAAAAAAGAACCTCTGAAAACAGTTTTCTGTTGGTCTCTGCCTCTTCCCGCTGCAGTACTGACCCCAGCAGCCCGCCCGGCAGAGTCCTGTGTGTCCCAAAGCTGTGAGCCAGGAGGGGGGCCCTGCCCTCTCCACCCTCACATGGGGGTGCGGGGTGTCCCTCTCCTCGCCTCTGTTCAGCCAAATTTCTGGCAACACCAGCAACCAGGAGGGAAAGTTCCCAAGGGAAGCCTGAGAGCTGACAACTCAAAAAACCATTCTTTTAACCTGGATGTCCCGCAGGCCCTGTGACTCACAGGATGCTGATTTTTAATCCAAATAAAGTGGTGCATGGCTGTGTCGAGCTGGGGCCTTCCTCCTGTCATCGCACTGCAGGATCCTGTCCTTTCCATGCACCAAATACTCCCTGTGGGGGATGTGCCAGCTCAGGGGCTCTTGTATGGGCAGTGAAATCCCTGGAGAACCCTGCGTAGAGAGGGGGCAGTCCCACCCGTGTGCGCCAGGAGCACGGGGAGGGGTGAGTTGGAGCTGGCTCGGGTGGGAGTGAGCGTTACAGAGCTGAAATCGAAGCTTATGGGGTTGAACGTAGGTGGTGCAGGGGTGAGCCCGAGTTCCTAAAGGCTGGCTGCCC